ATGTCATCTCATTCAGGAAGCCTGTCCTGTCCATCCCTCTTCCTCCAGAGTTAACATTCCCTTTGTTCCAACTTTTGCTTCTACTGTCATCATAATTTGTTTATATGTCTTCTTATCCTACTAGATTATGACTAAATTCCTTAAATGCACAGACTGTGCCTTCCTTCTGGATCCCCAGTGCCCAAAACAGTGCCATACTCATAGGAGGCTTTCAAACATTTACAGAATACATGAATACGTCAGGCAACAAATGTCAGTCACCGATGTCAAATGAATCTATAAAGCCTTCCTGCAAAACCCATTGGTTCCTACAGTCAACTCCCAATTTTTCTTCTTGGGTTTTACACACAAGGTAGACAAGTTACTAAAGATTTTTATTTTAAAAAATAAGCAACTGATAGAATTAATTATAGAAAAGGAATTAACAGTTCAAACTAATATAGGATGCCAAATACATGGGAGAATCGTCCACTGGCAGAGTAATTAATGGAACTGAATTTCCAAGAATCTCTTTCTCTATAGCACTCTTTGCCAAAATAGAGACTCACACGAAAGGAAGGTATAAGTCTAGTCCTGCCTGAAAGGCAGGATATAAGCTGGACAGCCTTTCAAGTTTTGTTGTTGTTTTTTTTAACCCCACAATCCCCTCAATTGTTAACACTCAAGGGAACTAGCTTCACTACCATGATAAGAGGTGCAATCTGATACCTTCATGAACATTTAATGGCCTGGCTAGCCAAGCCTCATTGTGACAGGTGAGGCAGAAAATAAATTCCAAATTTAATCATGCCTGTGGCAGGAAGAATAATGGCTCTCCAAAGATGTCCACATCCTAATTACAGAATTCATAAATATATTACCTCACATGTCAAAAAGGACTTTGCAGATTCAATTAAATTAAAGATTTTGAGATGAGGATTATCACATGAGCCCAATGTAATCACAAGGGTCCTTGTAAGAGGGAGGCAAGAAGGTCAGAATCAGAAAAAGAGATGTGAGACAGAAGCAAAATCAGAGAGAGAGATTTGAAGATGCTATGCACTGCCAGCTTTAAAAACAGAGAAAGGGACCATGAGTCAAGAAATGCAGGCCCACTCTAGAAGCTGAAAATTCAAGGAAAAGAATTCTCCCTAGAGCTTCCAAAAGGAACTCAGCCCTGCTGACATCTTTATTTTAGCCTTCTAAAAACCTCCAGAACCATAAGATAATAAATTTGTGTTGTTTTAAGCCACTAAATTTGTGGTAATTTATTACAGCAGCAACAGGAAGCTAATACAATGCCTAAGAATATCCTTAGCCAGTAACACACAGTGATCAAAACTTACCTTCTAAGATGTTATGATCTCGAACTGCTTCTGCAGCTAATACAGTCTTCCCACAGCCTGCCATTCCATATATGGTGACCCATCCCGGTTCACCATTCAATTTGGCGAGCTTCTGTTGAATTGTGTCCACCAGCTCCTCCCTGTTAACAAAAACTACTGGCCTCTGTGGTACTCCACCTTCACACAGGACTGTCCTTACTGAAATCCAAAACAAAACAAGCATAAACAATAGAATTTTGAAATGGTTACTCAAGTTATACAATAAAAACCAAAGAGAACAAGGCTAAGGCCTGAGCCTCAGAATTTTATGGACAGCATATTAACTTCAACTTTCTGATTTCTCAGAACACAGAGAACAAAAGCAAACATATATTCTTCAAGATGACTACAGACAAAGGAAATCTCCATCTATCCTTGCTCTTACCCTATTATTTCCTGACTCTCTAGTCTCTTTCTCACTTACTTTAGAATAGATAGAAGAGGGTAAAGGGAAGAATGTTTATGAAAGTCTTTTCAAGAACATAGATTTCTAAAGATTCTTATTCTTTCCTTTAAACTCTATAAACACACAGAACTGCAAAATAACTTAAATATAGGCCTATAAATTGCCTTATTCTAAAAATTAGGGTATACATATTATCATCTCAGCAATAAATAGGCAGGAAGAAAATGTGAAAATTAACATGGATGCAAATAAGAAATACTTAAATTGAAAACATCACTACAATTTTTTCACACACATTTTTCAGTGAACTGATCACACTCTCTTCAGAAGATTACGTCTACAATAAGAAAAACCTGCAGCAATGTAGCCAGTGTGACAGCAAAGAGACAGAAGGTATCGCAGATACAAACCATTTGAAATTACTCCACCACCTGAATCTTTGTGACTGGAGGAAGAGACAACTGGAATGCCATCATGGAGAAGGGCAGCAAGATCGTTATATCCTTCTTCTTGCAGAGCTTTACAGAATGATATGTAGGAATGATTATCTTTTTTAAGTATGATTTTAATTAACATAGCTGCTCGTTGCTGTTGAGTAGGCTAAAAAAAAAAATTAAGTAGTTTAGTGCACAACAATGAATATGTTTACAACATAAATTAGTGGAGAACGGTACAAGTTCTAATATCCTAAATTTTTAAGAGAACACAGACTACCTCGGAGGGTTTTACCTCGTTTTTTACTTTTTCCTCCTCCAATACTGTTAAAACTCCATCAGTAATCATGTAATCCATGATGTAGGATGTCTTGATGTCCTTTTCCAGAGCTTCCTTATGTTGAAGCAAACAATTTCGAGCTCTTGCATCCATCCTCCCTCAAATTTTTCTCTCTCTGAGCTGTCAACCATGAACTACAGGCAAAACACCAAAATATCTGTCACAACAATAAACATGTGAAAAGACTTGTAACCTCACTGGCAATCAAGAAACGTGAACAAGATTTTTTTTGCAAAAGATTTTTTTAAATGGACAAAACCCAATGCTTTGAAAGGTGTGAGAAAAATTATACACTACTTGGGAAGAGTACAAAATAAATGCAACTTCTGTGGAAGAAGTATAAGATACAGAAGTGTTTAAAATAAGCATTCTAGCTGGGCTGTTAGCTCAGTTGGCTAGAGCATGGTGCTAATAACACCAAAGTCTGGGGTTCTATCCCTGCACTGGTCAGCAAAAAAATAAGTTAAATTAAATTTTAATTTATTAATTAAACTGAGTAAACTGAGTAAATCCCTCTGCTAGGAATTTACCTCAAGGAGACATTCACATATGTATGCAAAAATATTCACAGAACGAATTAACAGAGTATTTAGGTGAGAAAAGAATGAACACAACCTAAATGTTCACTATTCTGAATATGGATTTAAAAAATGTAGGTACATATATAAAATAGAATATTATGCAGCCACTTAAAATTATAAGATACCTGTCTCTATTTACTGACATGGAAAGATGTTCATGAAACACTGCTGACTGAAAAAATAAAACTATGATCCCATATATAAACACATGTGTTGGTATCATATAAATATATAGGGAGATGTTTAGAAGTCTGTTCATCAAAGTGTTTGGGTTACTTGTGAGTAGCAAGATTTGAGATTTTCCCCCCTTTTCTTTTTTGTACTTGTCTATATTGTCTTAATTTTTTTCAATACATATTATCATTTTTTACAATAAAAATACTTCCATTTTGGGCCGGCCCGGTGGCGCACTGCTACAGTGCGCTGCTTGAGAGTGCGGCGGCGCTCCCGCCGAGGGTTCGGATCCCACATACAGACCGGTTCCTGCTCACTGGCTGAGCGAGGTGCGGGCGCAGCACCTATGGTTGCGATAAAACCAGAGGGTTGCGATCCGTTGCCGGACACGAAAAAAGACAAAAAGGAAAAAAAAAAAAAACTTCCATTTTCAAACTAAGATTTTATAAAACAGTGTTCATATTGAAGTTTTAATGTTGAAAAACTTCTTGTTTTGTTCATACAACACAAGCCTGAATTGCTGGTATTTTTAGTTTTCACTCAAGGTGTCAGCTCTAGGTCTTCATTGGTAAACACATTTCTCACAAAGAAACAAGAAATACCTTCTGATGTCATTTCTTGGATTAAGAGGAAACAGAAAAACTAATATTCTTTATAGTAAAACACTTCAAGTTTCCACGACCTTTATTTCAAATACAATGCAAATTTTTCCATGGGTACTAAGACTAGTTCAGAATAATTGCAAGTTTTTAAAACATTAGCAGAACTCCACCCAATGGATTACAGTGGAAGAGTGTCTAAATGTGTTTATTAATTTATTCATTAAATACACATTTGAGCCCCTGCTATGTGCCAGGCACTGAGACTACAGAGAAGATGAAGTCATATTCTTAAAGGAATACACTGTCCAGTAGAAGAAAAAGAAAGAAAGAATTTGAATATGAATGTCCTAAGTGCAAAATAGAAATAAGCACAATTAATTTACAGAACACAGAAGAGGGGCAATAATCATCAAGCTTCGACGATGACCATATTTTTGAAAAGCCACCAAATGTAGAACTTCCAAAAATAGAGCATTTGCCTATGCTGAGCAAGGTTCACAAAATGCCCAGTACTGGCATAAAACCAATCGATAACAGAAAAAATTATGATTAGAATAAATGTTATCACATTTTTAAGTGTCGATCTCTTAATTTAAACATAAAACGTTCCTCAATTTGTAGAAATGAAATTCAATTTGACAAAACAAAAACGAATTTAAGTTATGTCCAATTGCTAAGCGAATGAATAGATACTCTTAGGCGATCTGAAACTAACTTCCAATTTTACCTCTGCACAAATTGAAATATGCTGAACAAATTCTCAGTAGTGTCCCACGTTTTATAACCACATCAAAATGGAAAGGCAAAACTCTTCATAGATGTCAAATACAAAGTAAAGGCTAAGTTCATCCAGGAAAATCTTAACAATTTACCAGTTCCTCATCAGAAAATTTCTCTTCCTGGTAGCGGGGCAGGGCCCCAATCTTCAGACCCTGAAATCTGCTCCTCCAAAGAACCTGGCCGAAGGAGAAAAGCGAGGAGGTAAACTTACCCAAACCTTAGCACCTTGGCTTTAACGGGAAGAGCAGCCCTGCGGCGAAGGACTGGGGAAATCAAGGCCAGCTGCGGGGGAACGGCAACAGGAGGCTCTCGACGGGAAATGCAGGGCGCAGGGCATTTACCCTGTGCCCCGGGGCAGGGCCGGGCCTTCACAGGTGCCTCACCTGGGTCTCAGCAGCCCCGGGGCGCAGTAAGATCCCCAGGGATCTCCGAGGGGCGGAGAGGTGGGCGTCACCTCCACAGCTGGACCCCACAGTCCCGGGGCGCCGAGGGGAGCCTGGCCCACGGGCGGCCCTTCGGTGGACACAAAGGGAGGAGGGCCACTTGGCCTGTCGCTCCTTCCCTCCGGCGGCAGCTGCAGTCTGGCGAGAGCCTAGTGCCACTCTGGACGCCGCCGCGGCTACTTCAAGTCTTCGCGGGTCGCTGACGGCCCAGACTCCTCACCTCCGGCCCCCTCAACCCCGCTGTCCAGGGATAAAGCCTTTATGTCCGCTCATTACCTCCTCCACCCCTTCTCAGGGCCCGGGAGTCAAAACCCGCCGGGCCCGCCCAGCCAGGACAGCGCGCGGCCGAGCAGGCAAAGAAACACGCCCGGAGCTCCTCTGGCGGACGCAGCCGCGCACGCTCCCACCTCACCTTATTCCCGCACGCGCACGCTCCCTCCTCACCTTATTCCCGCACGCGCACGCTCCCTCCTCACCTTATTCCCGCACGCGCACGCTCCCTCCTCACCTTATTCCCGCACGCGCACGCTCC